AGAGAGAGAGAGAGAGAGAGAGAGAGAGAGAGAGAGAGAGAGAGAGAGAGAGAGAGAGAGAGAGAGAGAGAGAGAGAGAGAGAAAGAGAGAGCGGGAAAGAGAGGGAGAGAGAGGGAGAGAGAGGGAGGGAGAAAAGGAGGGAGAGGCAGAAGGAGAAGGAGAAGGAGAAGGGGAAGGAGAAGGAGAAGGAGAAGGAAAAGAAAAAGTCGAAAAAGAGCTCCAGGTGAATAGACCGCCGGCAACTAAGGCGGAAGGTCCCCGGGGGGGAGAGAGAGAGAGAGAGAAAAAGGGAAATCAAGAAGAAGAGGAAGACGACAGGAAATAATAAAAGGGATTTAAGAAGAGGAAACAAGGAGGAAAAAAAGGAAGAAAAGAAGAAAAGAAACGAGGAGTAACCAAGCGTAGAATAGCAACTCGAAATTACGCAGATTACTGTCTCCATACAAATACCAAGCTCACGCTTGAAAAAACAGTCGATTATGTCACACACCGCCGTCAACCTTCCTCGTGGTTCTGAAGATCGATAGAGGGTGGGAGAAATGGGATGGGAAGAGGGTGGGGGGAAGGGGGGGAGGAGGGGGAGAGGGGGAGAAAGAAGATCCCGCTTCAGCTCTATCCTCCAGATCTAATGCGCTCCTGTATCCGCGCAGATCATCTCGCCGAATTGCGGGAAGGGCGTGGCAAATCCCTAAAGCGCTCTTCTGCCCCATGCCACATGGGGCGTCGTCAGAGGGACGGACATCTTCCATGATCTTTGGAAGGCGAGGGGGTTGAAGGGGGACGAGGGGGGGGGTTGCAAAAGAAGGATGATGGATGGTTTTGGGGATGAGGGGCTAGGTTTGTTGAGGGGGAGAGGGGGGAGGAGGGCTCGTGTGGCAAGGGATAGGGAAGGGAGTGGATGAAGTAGAGAAAGGAGAGGAAGGAGAGGAAGGAAAGGAACGCCAAAAAGGCGCATGACGAAGTCTCCGCCACCGATCTATGCTCCATCGTCTCCGCTCCTCACTACTTCCACTAGCTAATCCACAAGTCCCCGCGCAGCGCCGAGCTCAAAGAAAAGGCAGCAGCAGCATGCGAGGAAGAGAGCTATGAAGCAAATGGTACTTCCGATCAGCAGCGGAAGGCGTTTAGCGCGCTAGCTATGGCGAGATTCGGAAGCAGAGCGAGGAGGAGGAGAAGCAAGAAGGCGGTGTTTCGCGCGGAGGGGGATGGGTGAGGCATAGCAGGTTCGGCGGGGCAGGTGGAGGCGGTCTGCATGTCGCTTGGCTGGGATGTGCCTAGGGAGGGTGCCACTTGTCGGGGATGTTACCACTTCCTCCAACTCTTGTTGTTGCTCCTCCAGGTCCCAATCAGCGAAGAAGTCCATACCGCCCACTACCACACCCGGCTTGCTCAGCGTAAAAACGGAACGCACCGTGCTCTACCACACCCAGCTTGCTCAGCGTAAAACCGGAACGCACCGTGCTCTACCCGTTATCGGAATCAATTACCGCATGGTGGTCCGATGAATAGAACTTCCTGCGTTCTGTTCTGATATAGCCACGGTGCCCAGCTGGGAATAGCATCCTTACGATGGAAGCTACCGCTCCTATTCACACGTTTAATGCAGCAACCCTGTGGCTGTGAAAAGGACAACTGGAAAGCGAAAAAAGAAAAAAGAAAAAAGGAAGGAAAAAAAGGAAAAAAAGGGGGGAGGCAAAAAGAGACGAGAAGAGACGAAAAAAGGAAGAAAAAACGAAAAAGGAAACTAAGACCAATGTAACAAGGATCTATTTGAGGTCCTGTGCGTCCCACACCCGTGTACCAAACTGGCCTCCAATCCTTCGTCATAATCCGAGAGCGAGTTGCTCCCACAGCCCGTATTTAGCTGATTATATCGCACTAGGGGGGTCTTATTTGAGGCCTATAACGCACGCAAGCAGAACAAAGCTCCGAACTGCCTCTTATTACCATAACCTGTACTAAAAAATTAAACAACCCAAAAGAAAAGAAAAAAGAAAAAAGAAAAAAAGAAAAAAGAAATGAAAAAAGGAAAAGAAAAAGAACAAGAACAAGAAAAAGAAAAAGAAAAAGAAAAAGAAGAAGGAGAAACGAAGAAAGAAAGAAAAGTTAGCACCCCTAATCACAATGCCAAATACGGGGAGATTGGCGAGAAGAGGGGAGGGGAGATTGGCGAGATGGGGGGAGGGGGG